GGGATTGAGATATCAGGACCAGAAAAAATAAATTTGAGGAATTGCGGTAATTCCCTACATCTTTGAACATGCAAAAATTGGCAGAAAGCGAGTACAAGTTGTAGTGCAGGAAATACCAAAGTAAGTTAATTATGTTGGCATGTAGATGCCACCATAAATAACATTCTATAATAAGTTTCATTCTCTTGGATGTAGACCATCACTGATCTGTCAGAGAGCTGTGAAGAAATGCACTATATTCTCTCACGGCTTGGTTTGCGCAGCCGACGGGTCAACGGCCACTCCGTGGCGATTGCTTGTTGAGAGCTGGTTCTTGTTTCCTATCAAGATAACTCGTGTTCTAGATTTCATTTGCAGGAATTACCAAATGATGCCGACTGAGCTCTTTGGCAAGCTTCCCATTCAGAAACGTTTTCTTCCATGAATTTTCACTCGCACATTAATTTAACTACTATGCATGTTTTATTCACTACAGGCTGTTGCCAAACCATGTTTGGGCATAAAAGAATTTGTATCAGTAAGCCAATAAACTGAGTGCAATGAAACTTGTAACAAAGGTGTCAGTGGTGCATTACCATACTCAAATTTCGTGTGTCTAGGTTTCTGGGGAAAAATGCAAGAAAACAAACTTGTCATTTGCTATGCGCGAGAGGAAAACAGAAGCAAACCACCAGGTTGACGCTGCTACTCGTATATGGCACCACATGGTACAAAAACTTGAGTTTCTCAGAGATAAACACCCTAAAGCAGATTGTACTATGTGCGATAGGATATGCGAGTAGCAGCGTTAGAAGTGGTTTGTTTTCTTTTTCTGTCATGGCGTAAGAAATAACAAATTCTTCTCCAATTTTTTTTTTTTTTTTTTTTGCATTAACCCACAATTACAAAATTTGAATATAACATAAATGCACCACATAAAAACATTTGTGTAAAGTTTCATTGCACTCCATTTGTTGGCTTATTTGCAAGATTTTGTTACGCCCAAATAGTGCTCCGAAACACCCAGCAGAAGTAAAATTCCGTAAATCGGTCCAGTCTTCTAATGTCCATACAATGATTATAGACACAGTTCCTGGGCGCGAATGAAGTATGGTGTCGCTTACGTTCTTTTTTAAACGGGTATAATTCTAGTAAAAAGTATGCACCCCACAGAAGAAAAGAAGTTGATGCTGTATTGGTCAGAGATAATAAAGTGAGGGTGCAGGTGAGCTGGTGAATGTTAACCATGTTGAATAAGCCTGAGACTGGGGCAGAAATTAACATATGAGTCGAAGGAAGAGAAAAGGACAAGACAATGTCTCAAACTCAGCTCAAACTCAGTCGAGCAGAGTTTGAGACGTTGTCCTGTCCTTTTCTGTTCCTTCGACTTATATGTTGATTTCTGCCCCAGTCTCAGGTTTATTCAACATGGCTGTATTGGTCTCTGCCAAAGATCCTGTTTAGGAAAATTAATAATGTTTGGTATTATTAGGTCCTTAATTTAGTAATCAGTGAGGTTAAGGACGTGGTTTCGATTAAAAATTTTAGGGCATCATTGAAAACCACTATATCGGTGTACTTTAGAAAAATGTAAGGCGTGTGCAGCATTTTACGACATTCCAAAAAAAGCTATTAAATTTGGACGCGTTTTTAAGTTTGCTTTTTATCAAAACCTCATCCCTGCACCAGCAGTCCTGCTTCCCTATGGCCAAAGCGCACAATGTGTGTTGCCATGCATTCTTCGCACGAGGAAGGTGCACCAAAGAATCAAAGCTTATTTTTGCAATGTCATTCGAACAGCACAGCGTTCCACTTCACCAGTTGGCTCACACCAAACTTCCTTCTCTTTTATGAGGGAGGCAATGCAACATTGCAAGCTATGACCATGGGAAGCAGAACCGCTGGTGCGGAGATGTTTTAGTAGGGAATCAAAACTTAAAAACTCGTTGAGATCGAGCTTTTTTGCTTGGAATGCCGTAAAACGCTGCGCTTGCATTCTATTTTTGTAAAGTGTGCCTATTTAGTGGTTTTCAGTGATGCCCAGGAACTTTCTAATTGAAACCATACGTTTAAATTTAATTACCGTAAAATCCCAAGAGATAGCCCGCCTAAAATCGAGAGAAAATTGGGTGAAAATAATGAACTTTCAATGTGCAATCAAGAAGAGCTGAAAAAATGCTATCTTTAGATCATGTGTCTCTGTCAACCTTGTTATCGCAGCGAGGGGCAATGAAGCAAAGATGACTACTTCCCAGTCAGTAATGTTTGCTTATATCCTACCGTAGCCAACTAAATGCATTTATGCCAAGGTCATCATTGATCCGGACACTAGAGTTACTAGGAGTGGGCTATCTTTCGGTGTTTAAAAGAAAATAATGAATAAAGCCAAAAATAGGAGTGGGGCAGCTCTCGGAATTTTACGGTAGTTAATTACTCAAAAGTAATTAGGAACCCAATTATACCAAACATTATTAATTCTCCTAAATAGGGCCTTTGGCAGAGACCAACGAGACATTAACCTTTTTTTGTGTAATGTGTACTTTTCGCAGGAGCGATTTGGCCAGTGTTCTGTGAAGCACTCAGCAGAAAAGCAGTCTAGTGTGCTGCATCAAATCAGTCTTACGTTAGCGCTAGATTCTACAGTTAAGCGGACATCTGCACCCACGGCACCCGTTATTGTATTTTGTTTTGGCAAGAGCTTGCTTTCTTAAACATTTATTTAACTTTTACATTTGTCCTCCAAGTGTACCTACCACTATAAAATTGCTAAGAGAGTTAAAAAACAAGCCCTATATTTGAGAAAGAAGACACATCTGCATCAAAATTCAGGAAGGCACACGAGAACATAAATATTATTACAGCAAATTTAGTAATTTAAAGCTTCATTAATTTGTAGACGACATTAGTATTATCTACGTTACACCCCCAAAATGCCACTTTCTGAAGGGGCACAAGGGACATAAAAACTGCTTCCCATGCCATGAAAGACTATTTGGATAAAAACTAAAATAGCACCAAACAAGGAAATGTGAAAGTGGAGGAAACAAGTGCATACACTTTTGCACATTGTCATTTTAGTGCTTTAATGCATTTTGACAAAATCCTGGCGGTGTCTTTTGTTTGTCAGCTACAGGGAGGGGGAGAAGGTGACATGGTACGACACTCCCGTTGGTCCGAAGCACTGACCTCGGCATGAGTCAACTTCTCTTCCTCTCCCCGTAGCCGAGAAACTGACAGACACCGCCGGGTTTTTGTCAAAATGAGCCCTTTGGTTTTAGTCACTCACATGCACGGCTGGTGCGGAGCCAGAGAGGAGGAGGCGCTGCGCAACGCCCCCTAGAAAACAAAGCCTTAGTGCTGAATGAGATTGCATCATCAGAGAAGGCCAACGCTGGACACAGAGTGGAAACGAATGCCGCGTCAGCGCTCGGCTTAGAGTCAAGATTGAACTTTTGAGCCAAACATTTGACGTAATCATTGTGTCCAATCTGGGCCCAGCATATTGGCCTTTTCTGATGACGCCATCTCATTCAACACTATGGCTTTGTTATCTAGGTGTTGTTGTGCCGAGGCGCGGTGGAATGCGGGCGTGCTCAGTTGCCACTCTGCTGTTTGTTCTTCGCTCTGGGGTTCTGTAGTAGCGGTGCGTGGGATGTGATGTGTGTGTAGTTAAAAAGGTTGGATGCGGTTCCTTCCACGAGTGGTAGGGACGACTGTATCCAAAGGCATCGACATACTCTGACAGCCAGAGAGTACAGAAACGGGGTGAAAAAACTACAGGAAGATCCATTGGTGGATTTTTAGGGAATGCGTTAGCATAACCCTCGGTAAACGCCGCACACGTCCCCCTTTGGGAAACGCTACCACTGACCCCATAACGAGGTTAAAAAGAGGCAGCAAAAGAAAAAGCCATTCCCCAAGAATCCACCAATAAATCTTCCTGTAATATTTTTGCCATGAACCAGTTTGTTTAAATTTCTAGTTTAATTACAAGAGAAAGCCTACTGCAGGATAAAGCTAGCAAGTCAACTGTTCATACTAAGAATCTGCAACAAAGCACTGGAACTGTTCCTACACACCTTAATTTTCTAGCATTCACATGCACAGCGCATCGCTTTATATTCTGGTCTTTGCATGGACACAGACTTTTCAGATGTAGCGACTGTATCAGGAACTTGGCTACTGACATCTTTGGGATATGCGCCGAGAAAAAGGAGGAGACAAGAGCGCGCGGGGACGTCTGGATGCCCAGTTTTGGTTGGTATGATTAGTGGGCTGACCTAAAGCTAGCTGCCTTTGTCTCCACTGCACTCATCGAACACGTTAAAATTGGAAAACCAAACGCCAGCGTTGTGCGTTCTAGCACGGTCGACGTGTGCAGTGGTGCAGCTTTAGGTGTACCCACTAATTATACCAACCAGAGCTCAGCGTTCCGACAGCCCTGAGAGCTCTCGTCCCTTTCTTTCTCAGCAAATAGCTCACGGCTTTATGATTAAACCGACACATAGCGTGCAATGTTTAACGTTCAAAGAATCATCAAGTTCGCAACAGTGGAACAATTGCTTGTCGATTTTAAGTTATTGGATTAGGAGTGCAAGTCTACATTTTTTCATGTTAGCGTCGGAATTAATTTCGGAGCTGACAATCCTATGGCTCTTGTTAGCCAGATCTTTCACAGTGTTGCCTTGAAAGGAAGATAATAGGCTGGTTACTCCAACTCTCATTGTGCCTGGCGTCAACATATCCATCACAATCACTTTTCCATTACACTCCCCTGTATGTATTGTGGTAAACATTTGTGCATTATGTGTGTTCATAGTTTCAGAGTCTGTGGATGCCCAAGTATAGGAGTATTAAACCACCATGAAAAAAGAGCATGCATATTTGTCGAAATCGTTGAAGCCCCACTTTGCACGGGCCAGACCTTGCAATGCGGCCCACAGCGAAAGTTGGCTGGCTATTGGTGAAGGTGGCAAGTTTCTGTCACAACCTTGACCTTCTGCTTCTTTTTCTGTTTGCAGATAAAAACTACATTCTGATCGTGCTTCACAACCCCACAGGATGAAAGTACTCATTGCACCCAAGCAGAGCACGATGGTTTTTATCAAATTTATTTTATGGACCCTTCTTTTTAGTGAGGCACTCTCGGTAAGGACGATACACAACCAGAACAGGAATAAAATGTAAAAAAAACTTGAGCAGTGTATTCCTACTTTTACTTCGTCTTGCTGTATCTTCTTTCTACACTGTGGCCTGTGACGATACATGACTAGCCTGTATATTCCATTACAATGCATTGTGACATAGCTTGGCACGTCGTGTTGGTCAGCTCAGTGACCACTGGATTTCAGGAACTCTTCGTAGGCCTTTTCATCCATGAGAGATTTCAGCTCATCAGGATTTTTTAGCTCCAGTTTGAAGATCCAACCTGAAACATTTGTTTGAAATGCTCACTAAACATCCCGGAACACTGAAATGGTACTAACGCAGAGCTCTGGATTTCCCTGGTCCTGTATTTGCAACTAGAGGGAAATAACAAGGATAAGGCTGAACAAAGTATTCATGAGGGATGGGAGTCAAGTTGATATTGGAATTCAATTATAATCATTTGTATGTGTTATTTTTTTTTTCATGTATATACAATGTTATGCAGATTGCGCATAAAATGCTTCATTCCTTTCTTTTTCTTACAATAATTTTTTTTTTTTTTATACAACACCCTGTCAGGGTGCCTTGAGGTACAGTGGACTCGCAATAATTCAAACCTGAATATTTCATACTTCCGGTAAGTTCAAACGAACTTTAAAATTTTGGTTGTTTGGCCATGTTTTCAATGCATTTATAAGTTGCTCAATTCAAACAGTGTTTTCGCTTAAATCATACTATTTGTTCATCGCGGTGAGTTAGCCCTGCTGAGAGCGCTTCTCACCGAGCACCTGTGTACTGCAGGAAAGCAATACCCACGAAGCTCACGGGCAGTGCTTTTCCATAGTATGCGGGAGCTCGGTAAGAAGCGCACTCGATGAGACTAACCCACTGCGAATATGCAAGCAGTACTGTCCTGACAATCTGCTTTTATTATTCATGCTTGTTTTTTTGTTGTTGTTTTTTTTCTGAGAGGGTTAAATTCGAGATTAAAGAAAATATTTGCATATAGCAAGCAGATTTATAAATTCCCTCGATTAAAATGGCTGGACATCTCTCTAGGTTTAATTTTATGTCAAATCTGTCATTTGACCCCAATGTAGGCATTGGACTTTCCGAGGCCATGGTTCATAGATATAGTTACATTAAAACTAACTGAGCTTAGAAGTGGACAAGTGGAAGGTTGGGAACAACCTTCACGAGTTCAGCTGAATTTTTGTTTAAGCATGGTACAAAAGTAGTATAAGGCTTGGAGAAACTGTTCAATATTCAATTAGAAAATATTCGGCCAAAATCGCTATTCGCTTTGAACTTCACCAATCTGTGGCTTTCTGGAGTCAGAAGAAAAGATCAGGAGATAACGGAGGTTAGCCAAAGCGGCCTGCCTGGCAGCTTTTGAGTTGCGGAAGGGGATCGACAGATGAAAGGAGGAAAGAAAAAGCAGAATTGACATGAATCACTTGCTAGCACCCGTATTAACACTAGCTGATGAATCCTGCACATACTTGATCATGAGTGCCAAAGTTACATGTGTGGCAAATGCATAAATGGCTCATCATTTGTACAGCATTTGTTACCATAACAAGGAGTTCGTAGTCGGTTCCTGCGTTTCTGCTGCATCCGCAACCTGCGGTATCCTTTTCCATAACACAGGAGTTTGCAGCAAATTCCCGCGTTTATCGCATTGTGAAACAAATTTTGTGTCCGCAGCATCAGTTCCCGTGTCTCGAGGTTTGTAACGGGTGCCCCGGTGTTTATCACTACTTTTTGATAATTTACCTGTCACATCCCCAAGGATAGACCCCCCCATGTTTTTCACCATTTACCACTTCATTTTGGGTATGCATTTACTCTGGATTTTATGACATATGCCTACTGAGCTGCACCTAGTTTTATTGGTGCTAACTGCAGTATTTGAAAATTTTCGTTAAAAGATCTACAGTAACCAGATAGCGCCACTTTTCATCCGTTCACCCTCTCCCCAGGGTGCGCAGCTTCATGCTCATTGACCGTTATTAAACGAGTGTGGTAGGAACCTCCAACGGCGTCTGAAGTCTCTTTCTTGCCGGCGTTGTCGCGCCAGTCCCGGCTCTCGGCTACCTCCGTCTGTGTCATGCAAGACCCTCTTTATTTCCGCAGGCCTGCATGGGCTCTGTGCCTTCTTTTATTTTTACGGGTTACTCCGTTTTTCTAATTACTACACTAACCATTTTTATTCTACTGGAATAATGCTGTTGGTCTACAAGCTCTGCATAGATTGTAATGAAAGCATTTGCAGCCCTAATTCAGCCCAAATGAGACACTGCTGATTGCACTTTCAGCCTAGTAGCACAACGCAGCCTCGCGAAAATGGCGACTACAGCAAGAAACAGCTACCTTCATCATAGCACGAGCTGTTCACGAGAGCAGGTTTGTCCTCCAATGCCTTGTTGACTTCGGTAACCTTGCCAGACACAGGTGTGTAGATCTCGCTGGCTGCCTTCACACTCTCAATGGCACCGCACTCATCTGAAGAACAACATAATCATTTGGAGCAGATCTGGCATCAAGCAAGAAAAAAATAAAGCAGGCACATCTAGTCACTGGCCCTCGGCGAGCTCTAAACCAAAATGGAAGTCACGTGCAGTTCCTCGAGTGGCCGCTGCGGGAGAAGTGGTGGCATTGCGATCGCCTTTAGCTCGGTTCTCGAGTACGGATTGGTGCCACTCTTTCTGAGCAGTCTCTATGGCAGTTTCCCAACTGAGTGGTTCTAGTAACGTTGGTTCAGGGGAAGCTCCTCCCACCCCTTCCACTTTAGTAGAGCGCTGAAGAGGTTGCCCCCTCTTCAGCATTTGCTCTGCTAAAGTGGAAAGGGGTGGCAGTTTTTCGATCCTCCAAGATAAGCAGAAAAAGCTGGTGATTGTGTTCATGTTGTGTTGCACTCTTCATACATGTACTCATCCATGCAAGACCTGTACCTGTCAGTCTAGGAGGCATTGGTGTTACTTCCCAGTGATACTTCACAATCACTGGTTTGTCCAAGGTCTTCGGGACCCATATTCGTCACTATTCAGCTCAAAGCAGTAGCAGCAGAGTCTCCATCAAAACACAAGAAATTCCTCGACTTCCCAAACCCTACACATTCTAAAGCAGCCAATCAGGCATTGCTTAGTGCACCCCAACATCTACTATTCCTAGACGTTTGTCAAAAGCAAGTACTGCCATAGGTTCAAGCCCAACCAACCTGAACTTCCCAAACATCCCCCCAGTTTGGAAGCCACCAACTTTTCGAGAGACAAGGAAAGGTACCAAGTAAGGAAAATGCCCATGCGTGAGCTGGGCATTATTGGAGCATGTAAACTTCACAAGCATTTAGATTGTACAAGTACAGCATAGCAACTGGCACCAATGCCCTTAAGGAGCTGTGCAACAATTTCAGGGCTTTGCTTAAATAATTGTGGAAGTTGATGCCTGACACTTCTGCAGTGAACTACAGAAAACAGATTTTGCCTGGATACCCTAGTTTTTATTTAAAAAAATGAAAAAGATCCAGGTTTTTGCACCCTCTCAACTCGTACATCGTCTTGCGGGTCACGTGCGCAGCGACGTCACTTGAGTAGGCGCGGGGTTCCGGAAAAGTTCTCTTCTTAGAGCCATCAGCGAGCAGCGAGAAATCATCCGCTCGCGACCGCGTGACCACGTGCTGGAGGAGGAAAGTCTCATCCGGGTCCGGCCATACCCGTCCTTGCCCGCCCGGCGCTGTCCCCCTCCCGCTTCTGGCGGCTATTCGCGGTTTTGTGGACCTAGGATAGATGGCGCCACTAAAGCTCCGTATAATAAAAGTTTTGTCGATGATACCAGGGTTTTGACGCATTTATATATATGTTGGAACGACAAAATTTGTAGAAAAGTTACCTTTTATCGAGCAGGTATTCGCACAACTTGCTATCTTTTTTACAACTACCCAAGTGACGTCACGCCGCTTGTTTCTCATGGCCACCGCTCGTGGCTGCAGGTCGGGAAATATTCTAAGTTTTAACTCGCTATTACGCGGCGGAATCGCAACATTTCGATGAAAGGAGGTGTATTTTCTGCCATTTGTGACACAGTGAACAATATCAAAAGCAGAAAATGCCAATTCTTTCAACGTTAAAATCGTTGCACAGCTCCTTTAAATGCAGTTTTGCAGTATCATCTCTACCTATGGGATGTGCTAAAATCTGAGCATGGACAAGGCACCTCATTTGAACATTTGCTGCAACAACACTTGACCAGCTTCAATGTGCTATGCTACGGGCATCTCCAATATTGCCGCATGTGTAGCGGTGCTGGCTTTGCACATGGCTGCCACGCAAAGATATGGGGTGCAAACCTTGCCGGTTCAGTTCTTTCTTTTACTAATCGCTGCTCTTCTGGAAAGTTCCAGTTCGTTCTTGTCTTTCATGGTGTGTTCCAATTTAGAACATTACCTCGCACTGCACATGCATAAAAAGAAGCAGTACTGCACTGCTTTGAGTCAGTCCCCCTTGTTAATTGCAAAATGTTGTTTGTCTTTGTTTTTTTTTTGCTCTTAAATTCTAAAGTTCTAAATTTATCTTCCCATTTTTATTTGTGACAATAAAAGTTTTGAAACATACCATGTTGGTTCAGATCAAGGTCAACATCTGGTGGCTGGACGTAGACCACATCACCGAGGGCTTCCTAAAATGGCAAATACAATGCCACTTCATTGGACACTGTAACACGAACACAAAGTCAGCACTCTTTCGCATTTTACTTCAAAAGGATAGGCAGACACCAAGTTGACTGCTTAAGTCAAAGCTCCAAATGAGCACTTCCCACCACATTTGTAGTTTCGATGACAGCATTTCAAGAGAAAAACAGAAAACAATAGCAATTGCTTTTTTGCACTAGCAATGTCGCACTACGCCCAGCCAGGCAAGAAGTTAACAGACCCCTTTCGAAAGTCTGCCCTCTGATGGAAGCTGTAGAATCCCTGCACAATGACAGACACAGATGACAGCACAGTCGACACTAGGAGAGGGTGGGTGTAAAACGCAGCGCCAAAAGTGCAACGTCACGTCGCCGGTTGCCTGCCAGAGTTATTACAATGTATGCTAGAGGTTCAGATGGCACTAGTGTCTATGCAACTTCCGGGATGTAAATTGAAGCAGACAGCGACCAGCCTACTTTAGCGACCGGTACTCCTGTGCATTTCTAGGAGAAAATGCGCATGCATTTTGTCTCTTCGCGAGAAAATAACATAAGCACATTTGTTATTTCGGTCGTACCGAATAGTGCGTACCTTTATTATCATTGTAAAAGTAAATGCTTTAGTTACAGTATTTTTCTTCACCAGTTAACAATGTTAAACTTGCTATATTTAAGGCCCAAAGTTCTGTTCCAAGCAGGTATGTAAAAATTAGCGACAATTCTTAGCAAAATAAAAATCGAAAGGAATGTAGAGCGTGTTCAAGGTTTGCCAGCACTTTGGCGGTGCTATTGCTAATATGCCCAACCTGTCACCATATGAAAATAAACCTGTCGTGCGTCTTTACTAGCAGTTAAAAACATTTGTAACGCAAATAAAGTATGTGGGCTATGAAAGGTGTTTCTCTTTATTATTTCCTATGCTGGGCAGCTTTTATTGGACACTTGTTTTATGACATCTCCTTATTTTCAAAGGTTTCGAGTGTGTAGGTGATACATGGTGGGGAAAACAGCTGGGTGATGTTTTGAACACAGAACAAGCATCTTTGCAAATCGGACAATATTATGTGGCCTCCAATTTATTTTGATTGTCTAAATACACAGGAAGTTACTTCCAGTGTTGCTGCATAGTTCTTTCCTTCTCTTTTGGTTTTCCAGAAGTCCTTCATTCATCCCCTATGCTGAAAAACACCGACGCCGTGTTTGCGCTAACAGTCTAACAGTGTCCGACAGTGCACATAAATACATGCCATTTTATTTTTTTATTTTTTTTAATGCTATGAATTTTAAAGAAAAACGTAACTGGCCACTTTTTTCGTCTGCGAGACTGAGAAATGTTCTAAGTTACCCAGTACGTACAAATTATTTGTGATATTTGCTCTCATAATCGAGCACAGGGAGAAAAAACACTCACTTTTTCCCATAAAAATGTGTTACCAGAAATCAATTTTTGACTGGTTGATGTCTGCTTCAATTTGCAACAGCACACTAGCGCCAGTTGAACCTTTAGCGTAGATTACAATACTCTATGGTCTGGTTATCATTGGCTAAACCAATCAAGCGCATGCCTGCACCATAACCTTACAGTTTTAGTCTATGCATTTGTGCTAGTTACTTCTAGTTTTAGATTTGCACGTACAGCACTGTCGGTTACTTCGCCATTGTGCAGTGGTTCTGACCTTCTAACAATCAGCATGTGACTTTCGAAAGGGGTTTATAGCTCCACGCAAGCAGGTGTTTTCTTCCAAGGAACGCATGACTGGTGGCTTGTGCTCAAACTAGTGCTGATGCCACAGGCTCGCCCATGTGAAGCAGCAAGGGAGGTGCCTATCGATGCAAACAAACTGACATTATCTGTGTCTGGGTCCCTTTTCTAGGTGAAAGGAGGGAGGGATTTGCAAGGTCACGAACAGTAGGCACTCCCCAAAAGAAGGAATCAACATTGAGCAAATAAAAAAAAACAAAGCTGTAAAGCACTGTCAAGGAAGAAAAAAAAAAAAAAAAGCTCTTAATTTCATATTTTTTCAGCCCACCCTCACATGAGTGATCAAGTGATCGTTCCACTTGCCTTCTCCAGAATCATCTCCTTCTTTCACTCGGACCACCCAGACACAGATGATGAAGGCAGTTTGTTTGCACTGATGGGCTTCCCCCTTGCTGCTTCACATGGGTGAGCCCACGTGAACTACCATAAAAGAACGGGGAAGTGCCCACCCCACTTTCACTGAAAACTTGGTTAGACATGGGTGCTTGTTCGGTCAAATCGGGAAAAACCAAGATGGCGGTCAACATTGAGCCTTGAAAGCGGGGTGAACGGGATTGGAGAGAAAGCATTTATTTATCTTCACATGATAAATGATGCTGAGACTAGTACCTATTCATTATCACTGAACCCATGAAACAACTCTTTCGAGTTGGTGCAGAATAGGAGGTCAATGCTCCAATCACGAGTAGTTTTCCCCTTTCCATCACAAGAAAGCGTATATCCCAGTCATCGCCGCTGGCGGTCTCGTTGCTGCTGCAACGGGGTGAATATTTTCAGCTGACGCCAGCACTTTGGAGGTGGTGGGCGCTTAACGTATACCTTTCAGAATTCCCAAGTTTGCGAAATGTTAATAGTGGGCACTTATATGAGGTGCACGCTTCCACGGTAGTTTGAGCGCAAGCCACCATGGTCATGCACTCCTCAGAAGAATAAAATGCCCACTCACACAGAGCTATTAACTTCCTGCCTATTGTAAATGTGGCAGATGCTGCAGGTGAACTATGCTATTAATTAGTCTAAGGGTCGTCACACCATGAGCTCACCACAGGGACAGCAAACCAAACTGCAAAGTCCGTACCTGAGCATGCTGGGAAATGCCAACGGTTCCTATTTTTCCCTCCACGGTGACCCACTCGTGTTTTTCAGAGAATCTCCTTTCTGCATGAAGAAACAAGGCGAGATGAAGTTGGCAAATGATAAACATGCACAGACCTTATCAAGCAACAAGATAGGACTCATAGAGGATCAAGAGCCAGTTAGTGCTGGCCCTGTGGATGCCATTTCAGTGTCGAATTTGGACAGTTGTACCTTTTACCGTCCTACACCATAGTACTGCAAATTTTGTATTTCATAATGGGTTGATTGACTTCATAGGGAGATCTATAGTGCCACAGCGATTAAGGCTACAATTACGAGGTAACCATTGCAGAAAAAAAGGGTATAGAAAGAAAGATATTCTAGAAGCTAATGACAGAATAAAAGAATCAACATGAAGCACAAATTTAGTGTGACAAAGACTCCGGCAAGACAGTCGATAGAAACTTTTGGCTCACGGCCAGTCGGGTCATGTTTTGCTGCCACAGTCGGCAGCAATACGAATGCCCCTGACTTTGCATATTCCTCGAGTAGAACTATACCCCATTTACCCCTAAGTTGACAGTGCGGTGGGAGATATGCGCTCGTTGGACCACTCACACCTCTATTATCAATGTGATCATGCTCTCGCCCATAGCCAAGTGCAGAGAGAGAAGTCAGGTGACGACAGGAAGGCGGTTAATACGCAGCTTGCAAGCATCGCCATTGCTGGGTACTGACTGTTATTTCTACTTACTGGTTTCTTCAACTACAACTTCTGCAGTGTGCAACTAACACAGCGAACCAAACGCTCGCAGCGCATAAAATACTGGTATGGCCTCAAATGATGTCACCTGCAAGCTATGTACTGGTCCTGCAAGCCCGTAGCTCCCACTGTACTATCAGCTTAAAGATGAACGGAATATAGGAAGAAGCAGGATCAAGATGATGACAATAGTTAAATTTTACGGTGCATAGTACAAAGTAGATGGTGCTATTTGTGGGTCAATTCAATGAGCTCGATATTGCACACCTTTGGCTCTATCCCCCTGTATGAGCAGGAGAGTTAGTAGCATGGGGATTGGACCTGATACCCCAGTCACCGGTTTCACTACAAAAACTCGTGGACTTGAATCATATTATTAAACAATTGCCCTCCCTAAGCATATGAATGGGACAGGAGATGGGAGAGACCAGAGTAAGAGAGGATTGCAATCCTCTTTTAAACTGTCCGCTTGTCCAGCCATTGGTTTAGCCTTTGAACTTTGCAAATATGAAACAAACAACAAAAAATCGTACGACACACCTCTGCATTGAGCAGCTCGAAATTCTATTAACTGGTTAGATCACGGTAGTGGTGACACCAATAAATGTCAGAAGCAAAGGGAGGTTACGTCCCTTCATATGCTTCGCTCAACTGGCAAACTTTGACAATTCTTTTTTTTTTCTTTTTTTTTTTTTTGGGGGGGGGGGGGGGGGGGGGATGTGGAATGTTTACACTTGTTAACACGTGAGGGCCGAATATTCGCAGAGTCATGCCACAGGGCGATAACGCTCGAAATTTCTGGCACACTAGCATCTCTCGCGAGATAAGTGGTCTCCAAGGGCTGAGGACGACTGCTGATAAAGGCTGATTCGCTCGTTCCACCGGGCGATTGGGCCTTCAAGGACAGCGCGACTCTACTCGCTGAGCTTCAATCGAGTCGTCGCAATGGTTCCCCCATACATAGCCCATTTATTCATGAAAAGAAACAAAAAAAAAAAAAAAAAAAAAGAAGAAGCCGCGTGCAGCAAGAAACGCTGGTTCGAAACTTTTGAGATGACAAATTCCAAAGGAAATTGAGGATATCGAGAACCAACAAGGTTACCCACTACCAAAACATTATAACTCCGCAATTTTTTTTTTTTTTTTTTTTTTTTTTTTTTTAAGATGCGTTTTGTTTAGTGATTTCTTTCTCCACAGCGTGCACGTGTACGGCGGCCGGCTAGTAGGCGCAGATGCGGGAATGTTTCTGCCTAGCTTCGAACGCCTTCGTATACGCACCAACCCCTTGTAAAAATATGTTATACGTTATTAACTTATTATACATTGCATATTACATTTCTCTTGCGCCAGCAGAGAGGTGGCAAAGCGTGTATGTCGCTACTGCACGATCGAACAAGCCAAAGGTAGAAGAAATGCAGCAGTCAACGGAATGGCACGAAGGATGTGTTTCGAAACTTGAATATCGCACTCACCAGTGTGATTCGCTGCACTGACTCCGAAAGATCGCGAAAATTTCAAACTGCGATGAAGGCACGACTTGGAAACTCCGCGGCTGAAGCAAGATGCACCTCGCACAGCACTCTGCACGACGCACCTGAGAGCTGCCATGACTACGACTAGATAGAGTTTAAAATACTAGACCGTCCGGAAGCTTGCGTAAATTTCAGACTATGAGTAGGGCGAACAAGGTCGCCCGAAATGAAGAGGGAGGCTTTTAAACACGGGCGATAAGGGAATTGAAACGAAACCAGACGACGTTTGTTTTTTAGATCACGTGACAAGAGCCCGTCGCTGCCGTCGCCGCAAGAGGACAGGACCAGTCTAGGGTCACTGGACGCTACAGAGTACGTGCAACTCGACGATCGCTCCAACATATGCTTCAACATTACTGGATCCACTGGATCGCTCGGCTCTAATGTCACGTGGGTCATAGACGCCATGTCGTGACGGATGTTTGCTCGTTTTTGGACCTTCTTCCCAATTTTAAGACTTGAAAACGCTTCAATATTTTACGGAGTTAATAAAATAGTATATTTCACTGCTCATCGATTTTGTTTCGATACGGGAAGTCTTTTTTAAACGCAAAAATAAGTTAATTTTGCCATTTCTAACTTTCAGGGGAAAAATAAAGGGGGGGGGGGGGGGGGGGGGGGGGGATCAGAGTGTAGGAGTAATAAAAACTTTTAGCCTTTCCACTTTGGTGAAGGAGGAAGACCAACCGAGTTGTACTCGGCCAGAGTGGAAAGGCTCGAAAGGTTGCGCCATCTATGAGGGACGGCGGCAAGCAGACAACCGGCAAACGCAACACTCTGGATAGCTACCGCCATCTATGAGCGACGGCGGCCATCAGAGTGCTGTGTCGACCAAAGGGGTCAACATTTGTTAGCTACCGGACACAATCCTGGGGAAACTAGCCCTTAACAGCTCCGCTGTAAAAAGATAGGAATGCGGCAAAAGGGTTTTGGGAGGTAGAGCCAATGTTATACGCCTCGCAAGTGGGCCCATTTTCGTCTTCTGCGCATGAGGAAGAAAGTGGCGGTGACGTCAGAACGCCGAGCCCTGATTGGCTGATCGCGATCCCCTATCTCAGCGTCGTCTGCTCCTTTCCAACGTCGTCTGCTCGCAACATCGTCTGCGTCTGTCTTACCTTTCCTGCGACTTTCGGAGCGAACTCGACTTCGCCTTTAATGGAGGGCAGACGAAATAACTCGAGCGGTACGTTGTTTTTGTCTAACAACTAGCAGACGCGCATCAAGGAGGGAAGTCAAAGGACTCACTGGCGAGGTGTCCCGGGGCGCCGAGGTTTGTTTGCTTAGTACCGAGAGTGAGCGTGTTTGTGTCCGCAAGTTCCCTCCCAAATACTTTTTCCCTCCATTTGTGTGCGGCGAGACCCCTCACTCTTTAGCGGCGCCGGCGGGTTGGCGCAGTTAACGTCGTCTGCTTTACGTCTGCTAGTCAAAGTGATGGCTGCTTTACCTTTCCTGTGTCTGTCGGAGATTCACCGCTTTTTTACCGGCGAGTCACCGTTGTCTCGGGGAATAAATTGACCTCTTAATCTAAAATTGAGGTCAGCGATCAAAGAATAACACGGGAAGGGTTCACAAGGGTCGCGCGGGCATATTCCATTAAGCACGTCAGCCGGCCGTGGGCAGACGGTCGCCGAGTCGCGGAGTGCCTGCTAGGCCTAACTGCCCAGCTCGTTTGGTCGCGCTCAGTGGAATTGTGACCGTTGGAGCTTTTCCCTGGTGTTTGCGGATCCAGCGTTCTTGTTCGTCGTGCTCTGTTTCAAGTAATTTTTACTTTTTTCTTGCTGCTTGAAGTCAGGACGCGTCAGAAGCTCACGTAGAAAATTAAACGTCCGTGGGTCGTCGCGACCGCGACGCTGTCGGCCATGCTGAGTTGATCGTAAGAAGTGCGTACAGCTTCGGAGTTGTCGTAGGATTTCGCCGTAACCTGCGCAAAACTTACGAAAATTTCGTTTCGTGAATACGAATTTGTTCTTAAGTTTTGTCTTACACACATTTTTGGCGTAAGATCGTTTCGTGAATCTGGCCTCTGCACTTCCGAAAGTCGCAGGAAACGTAAGACAGACGCAGACGATGTTGCGAGCAGACGACGTTGCAAAGGAGCAGACGACGCTCAGATAGGGGGGCGCGATCAGCCAATCAGGGCTCGGCGTTCTGACGTCACCGCTACCCCCTGCGCAAGAAGCAGACGAACTTGCCCTCCGCATTAGATTAGCTCAATTACGGAACTGCTCATAAACGCTGCATGCATGAGCCAGTACCCCCCTCCTCACTCACCACGACTCGCCTCATTACCTCTCGCATTCCACAAAAAGTACTGCCTCCCGTCGTTTGATGCGCCGGGCGGCTGCTTTGGTAGCTCAGTGTATTCTACGCGATACATACGTTTCGAAGCGCAGCGTCTAGATGCCGTTTCACCGCACTCTACGGTAACTCTATAGAGCACGCAGTTCGTGAACGAAAATCTTGATGGTGCTCCAAACGATGGGAGGCGGACTGAAGTGAGTGAGGGGGGGTACCACCTTCCACGGGAGCTCCACAACAGAGGTAATCTAGTAACGTTAGGTAGAGCCAGAGCCGTATATGTAGAGATTGGCCATTCATTGGGAAGTACAGAAGACAATGAGGAGGTGCCATTGGCCGAAAGCGGGCTAGGTGTGTTCCAGGGCGTCTTCACAAATTCGAACGTAGCCAACCAGAAACCGAAAATAACACTCTGGCGGTGGTCGCGAGAAACAAACTTAATAAGTGCATCGGAGTAACTCTTGGTGACTGAAAATATGGTGCATTTGATGTTTCAATCACGGTCATCCAAAATCATGGTGGAAGAGTGCGACTAGCGAAACGATCGACATAATCTGTACGCCAAGTGCCGAGGGCCGGGATTGTGCCGTCCGAGCGGTCACACTCTGTCCGAGCAAAACAGAGTTCAGCGGTGCATTTGTTTCTTACATCTTTCTGCTTATCACGATCAAAACATCATGTGTACCCTATTTTCAACCATGAAGGGTTACTACACTTCACTCTTAGGCGCCTATTAAAACCATATACCAACATACCGTATTTTCCAGACTATAGTCCGCACCTGGTGTATAGTCTGCAGGGACAAATTTGCGGTCAAAAATAAATGTTTCTGTTTATAGTCCGCCTGCCGTGCATACTCCACACCTGTGCATAGTCGGCACGAAAACCTTCTCATACATGGCACACCTTGACAAATGTCTTCTTTCTTAGCTCACAAAGAAAGCCTATAATATAGATAAATCATCATTTTCCGCTACGCGGAAAAAATTCCTCACTAAATTTAGCAGAAAAAAGGGAAAGCCGTTTACAACTCCCTGTAACGCCGAATTAGAGCGCAGCTCTTGAGGAGGAGGAGGGAAGGGTGCTGGGGAGGGGGGGTCAACTGACCGGGGGGGGGGGGGGAGGTCACGTGACGATGACAATGCCTATGATGTCACCAGTGACGTCACTGATGACATCATCAGTGCCGATGACAATGCGGATACCGTTGACGTCATTAGTGACGTCACTGATGACGTCATCAGTGATGATGACGTCATCAGTGACGATGACGGTGCAGATGCCGGTGACATCATCAGTGACGTCACTGATGACGTCATCAGTGACGATGACAATGCGGATGCCGGTGACGTCATCAGTGACGTCACTGATGACGTCCTCAGTGATGATGACGATGCAGATGCCGGTGACATCATCAGTGATGATGACGTCATTGGCGGGGTCACGTGACCTCGGCGGGGGTCACATGACTTTGGGGGGTCACGTGACCTCAGGGAGGGGGGAGTGAAGTGACCTGGGGGGGTCACGTGCCCTCCCCCCCTTCCCCCCCGAGGTCACGTGACCCAAAGGGGGGCTCGCGCGGTGCATTATGGGGCATTTCCCATAATGCACCGCGCGGTTACGCCGACGCCGCTCAAGCCGGAAACGAGCGCCTAAGAGCTGCGCTCTAAAAATCCCTGCTAAATTTAGTGAAAAAATTTTCCCGCAAAATTTAGCGGGAAAATTTTTACGCTTAATTTAGCGGGAATTTTTTTCCACTAAATTTAGCAGGAAAATTTACCAATAATGCAACGCGCGGTGATGTCACTCGTGACGTCACGTGTGATGTCATTATGGGAAACGTCCCATAATGCAATGCGCGTTTATGCCGACGGCAACGCCGCTCAAGCCGGAAACGGGCGCCTAAGAGCTGCGCCCTAAACAAATTGAGTCCTAATACGAGTGCTCCGTGTGACAAGTCTTCCAGCACGACGAGAATTCCTCATATGAGATGCCCTGTGAAGAGTTGGCCAACAGGACGAGTTCGCCTATGACCAGTTGGTATGTGAGAACTGGGCTTGTGACGAGTTCTCCTAGACCCCACCAATGTGACCCCGGAAGGAAAAAAACAAACAAAAAGAACCGAGTACCTAAGCATTAGTTTTTGCAGCCCCGAGTATGTCCTTGGTCCAACAGCAAAAATAACACCAGTAACCACGCGTTTGACATTCAAACTACTGGGGAGAGTGGCGGACACTGATTCAACGCGACGTAAAGCGGCTTACTCGAAGTTAAAAAGTGTTTTTGTAAAATTGCCCTATTGGCTGGTTCATACGTTTGTAGTTTGAGCATGACTGACTGCGTTGCAGCCGCTGCGACTGTTGATGATGAGAGAACGCACCAGCACACTGGTGCCGTCCATCAGATAGTCCTGGAACACCTACCCAGCAGAAAGAGTGAGCTGAGCCAGTTCTCTAGATCTCCGCATGCGGCGCTTATAACCAAACCAGAAATGGAAACACCTCAAAGCACGCTGTCAAGTGAGCCCCCGGCATGAAGCTTGCATTTTCATTGTTCTCATCATCAGAATAGAGAAAGGAAAGTCAATCTCTGTTGATTCGTAACTTTTATTCCCTGCTTCGTTCTTTGCGCTATTTCACTGGATGATACCTCAGAATGCAAGATTTACTGTGAATCTACTGGGTGTTTCAAGGAGCGGCCAGGCTCTTCAGATCGACTGCCAAAATTCGGTTTCTTAACCTATCAGTCTAAGACTTTGTGCAGCGTTGCCCACAGACGGTGCATCTCTTTTGAAAAATTTGCAAAGAGCAAACTTACCTGAGGAAAAAGTAAAGAAAGAAAAAGACTTAGCTCCTATGGAAACACAGCGAATTCCACTGGTCTTCAAACAATACGGTGCCGTTTCGCATGGGAGACAAGAGATGGCGCAAGCGGTTACGACGCCAACTGCCGCCAACGAACGAGCATGCGTCGCCGAGAGCCGGCGTCTTTAGCAGACAATC